GCTGTGCTGAGCATCTGGCCGAGCTCCTCGTCAAATGTTAGGCATCTGGGTTTAGGGATGATATTGCCCCATTGATTGAACGTAGAATGGAAAATGACATGGAATGCAGGGAACCCTAAACCCCTATCTTGGAGGCTGTTGGACATTGCGGCCGGCAATCTCAAGTTGCAAAGGTTGACTTAGGGTCTAAGCAACACGGGACAAATCAGTTCTTTTACAACTCACTGTACTGAAGCTGTCTCTAAGATGTTGGGCACGTCCTTAAGAATCCCTAAGCTCTAATATAGCAGTAGCAATAATAATACGAAGTAGTAGTAGCAATAATAGTAATAATACTAGTAGTAGTAGTAGTAGTAGCAGTAGCAGTAGCAGTAGCAGTAGCAGTAGTAGAAGAAAAAAAGCCCTAAACCCAACACCGGCCCGACTCCTGCTGCGTTGTTGCAGGTGCTCGGAAGCGGTCGCGAGGCACACGTCTCAGTCCTCCAGGAAATGTGCACGCAACAAGCTTGGAACATCTCAATGTTTATGGCCCCTAAATATCCCCATGTAACCCCTGTATCTCCCATGAACCGTATATACATACATAGGTCTAAACTCCCTATATATCCCCCATATAGACATATACGTGTATATATATATATGTACATACATTGTGCCCCGCCCATTGACCAAGCGTTTTTCAATTATCTCTGCTCAGGTACGCCACCTTCGGCTGCATCTTGGGTAAGGTTTGCCTCTTGGGTGGCGGTTGCTTTTTAGTTGGACTCTTCAGGGTCTAGGGATTGGTTGGAAAAAACTGTCCAGGACAACTTTTTCCTAAGATTTAAAAACGTTTGAAGAAGTTGTCCAAGGCACCTTTTTCTAGCGATTTCTTGGTTTGGGAAATGTGGGCCTACAGCCTGAGATCCTTCAAAATCATGAATTGGTTGGAACAGTTCTCCAGGACAACTTCTTCCAAGACCAGAATTCCAAGATTCCAGGAGTTTCCTTCAATATCTAATTAGATTTTGAAAAGAATCTGTATCAAGGAAAACCACCTCCAAAACAAGAATCCCGCATTCCAAGATTTTCTGTCAATTTCTAGCGGAACTCAAAAAGGATTTCATGTAAAGGAAAACCACCTCCACAACCAGAATCCCGGGATTCCAAGATTTGCCGTGAATTTCTAGCTCGAGTGTAAAAGAATCTTTTATGAAGGAAAACCACATCCAAAAAAGTATCCAGTATTCCAAGGTTTACTTCAGTTAGATATGAAACGGGCACTTATACAAAGGAACGCGACTTCCAAAAACCAGAATTCCAGGATCCCAAGTTTTTATTGTTTAGTTCTAATTTCATCTTGAAATGAATGTATATACAGGGAAAGCAGCGTACAGCTGCATGACCAGAACTCCAGGATTCCAAGAGTTTCCTTAAGTTTCCAATTAGATTATAAAAGGAAATAATGTACAGGAAAACCAGCTCCAAAACCAGAATTCCAGGATTCATGATTTCTTGTTAATTTCTAACTAGAATCTTAAAGCGATCTATATAAAGGAAAACCACCTCCAAACCAAGAATTCCAGGATTCCGGGGTTTCCTGTTAACCTCTAAGTAGATTTTGAACTTTCCCGATTCCAATATTTGCTGCAAATTTCTCGTTCCATTGTAAAAGGAGTTTAGTTTATATACAGAAAAACAACCTTAAAGGCTAATACTCCAGGATTCCACGATTTCTTGTTAATCTCTAAGTAGACGTTAGAAAGAAATTTATGTAAGCACCAACCACCTGCAAACCAAAACTCACAGGATTCCAAGAGTTTCCTGTTAACGTACTGTAAAACGAGTTTAAAAGGAAAACCTACTTAAACACAATAATTTCAGAATTCCACGATTTCTCGTTAATCTCGAATTAGATGTTAACAAGACTTTACAGACACAAGAACCACCTCCAAAACAAACCTAAGAGGACCCCAAGAGTTTCCTGCTAATCTCTAATTAGATTGTCCAAAGCATACGTTCAAATGTTCCAAGATTTACTTTAGCAAGATATGAACCCGGAATTATTCAAAGGAAAGCCACCTCCAAGAACAGAATTCCAGGATTCCAAGCTTTCCTATTAAGTTTTGATTCTAATTGCATGTAATTGCATTTTTAAAGGAATGCATGTACAGTAAAACCAGCCTCAAGACCAGAACTTCCAGGATTCCAAGATTTCCTGTAAATTTCCAATGGGGTGTGCAAACGATCTCCAAAACCACAAGCCCAGGATTCCAAGATTTTTCTTTCAACTTCTAATGAGATGACGAAAGACAAACCTTCTCCAAATAAGTAATTCCATGTTTCCAGATTTTCCTTTAAAAAAAATGTTAACATCATTTTGTCACAGCTTTTCAACAGGTCCATAGTACTGCAGGATCTCTCTCAGCTTATAAGCCTATAGTTCCCAAAACCATCAATTCATTGGAAGAAGTTGGCCTGGACAACTTTTTCCAACGAATCCATGGGTTTTGAAGGATCTAGGCCTACACCTCCCAAACCATCCTTTTGTCGGAAAACTTGTCCTGGCCAACATTTTCCATCCTTTTCCAACCCGAAATCGTAGGAACAAGTTGTCGTGGACAACTTCTTCCAACCAATCCATGATTCTTCAGGATCTCAGGCTCTAGGCCCACATCTTCCGAAACCATCATTTCGTTAGAAAAAGTTGTCCAGGCCAACTTTTTCCAAGCATTTCCAACCAAAAATCGTAGGAAAAAGTTGTGCTGGACAACTTTTTCCAACCAATCCAAGATTTTGAAGGATCTCAGGCTCTAGACCCACATCTCCCAAAACCATCATTTCGTTGGAAAAATTGCTACGACAACCTTTTTCCAACTATTTCCAACCTGAAATCGTAGGAACAAGCTCTGCTGGACAACCTTTTTCCAATCAATGCATGATTCTTAAGGATCTCAGGCTCTAGGCCCACATCTTCCAAAACCATCATTTCGTTGGAAAAAGTTGTCCAGGCCAACTTTTTCCAAGCATTTCCAACCAAAAATCGTAGGAAAAAGTTGTGCTGGACAACTTTTTCCAACCAATTCAAGATTCGAGTTTGAAATTTACAGTCTGGTTTCCCAACCCATCCTGGGTCGTGAAGTGTGCTATACTGTCCCTAGCAACTAGAAATCCAATATTTCAGAATCTTCATTTAATTGCTGAGATTTCATATCCACCAAGACCAGCTCCAAAGTCAAGGATATTCCCTCAATCTTGGATTAGATTTTAAAACATTTAATGTGGACCAAGACCACCTCCAAAAACTAGAAAGCAAAGATCGCAAAACATCCTGTAGTCTCCAACTACAATTTCAATAGGACGTAAACTTATAATTACTATGGATGACCACCACAAAACCTTGGTCAATGGTGTGTGTGTGTGTAACTCTAAAGCCTAAGCCCTAAACCCTATTTATCTCCTATATCACCTATAATCCCAATAGCCCTGCGGCGCCTGCTAAGGCTCCAGAGCGTGACATTTCCTCACCCGGCGACAAGCCCTTGCCCTGCAACACGGATTTACGCTTTGGGGTTTAGGGTTATATAGCGGAGCATGTTAGTGTTATGTAGGGATCGCTGCTTCTACAAGGGAGAATCAGATGGAAAAGAAGATGGGAAATTAATGCAAAACTGCGGGTTTATGCACATATTACTTGTTTAGGCAACTCAAAAAGCAAGGGAACTAAGAGAACGGCACGCCGACAGCTGGAATGCAGGGGCCGTTTTGCGACTACAAAGTTCGCTGATGAGCTCGTCACATGACATGCGCCAAGCCCTTCCCAAAAGCACAGCAATTGCAGGGCACGGGGGGCGTCGCAAGTACACTACATCGGCTCAGACCAACTGGTTGACCAGCACTTCAAATACTTGTCGCATGGGCGGAGCCTTTGGTCTTTCTTGCTGAGTCCAAAAGTGCAGCTGAGCCTTAATTGAACTTCCCGACTCAAGCTCAATGCATGCCCCATCCTACAAGTGGAGCTTAACAACTTAAGTTGCCACACCACCCTCAAAGACCACTCCGAGAGCTCTTATGAGACCCCATGCACCACACTCTCTGGATCCGTGCAGTCAACAGGTATTGCGGTCCAGTGCTGGAGGTGTTCAACAAGCTGTTCAGGTTGCGCTGCATACCTATTTCGTGCCGTACGCCACAGGCAACCACAAGCACCGGAAGACATGCCCACCGTCCAAACACGGACTTCAAGGCCTGTCCAGGCAAGTGATGGCTGAGGTCGTTATTAACTTGAACAAGCCCTAAACCCTAAACACTACATTGCCACACAACTGCCTCAACCAAACACTGATCTCCTCAGCCCTGTGCGAGCCACCGACAGTTGCTGAGCTGATCCACACTTAATGTGCACAGACTGCGGCTGCGTACCGCTGGCAAGTGATAGGGTCTAGGGGATAGGCATTGTTGAAGATATTTCTAATGAGGCTGCGTCATATATCTCGAAGCCTAAATGGCTTCAGTAGCACAGCCGTTAAAAATGAAAATTGGGCCCGCCCGCGACCACTTAATGGTCCGGGTCGTGGGGAAATCTCAAGCTGTCAGCTGCTTGCAGGCAGCTGTTTGCGTGCCAACGTTTTCATGTCAGACAAGCTGCCCTGATGTTTGCATGTCTGGCGTAACATTATTCACGTCAGCACGCTCAAAGTCATGGCTATAAAGCTGCTTGCAGTTCTGCACATGGAAGATCGCAGGAAATACGCAAGCAGGACGGAAACCGGCCGAATCCGAATTCAGTGGTACAGCACACAGAGGTCAGTGAAAACGAGGCTTCTCCTGAGTGCCTTGATCAAAGGAACCCATATGAGCACAAGGCTTGGCCGCAGCTTTGCATGAACATGTTGCGCGGAAGTCCGGCTTCCTTCTTCATAGCCTATGGTACTGCTACACATTACACGTGCATCGCGTCAGGGCTGGTTAATCACGAGCTGACGATGCACTGAAGGCCTGGTGCAAGCAGGCGGACGGCCTTATCCTCGGACTTCATTGCGCTTGGAGCCACGGCGAGAAGGGCTGTTTGTGGGTCTCTCTGGCCTTTCCTGCTTCTCAGCCTGGCATGGGCGACTCAATCACCGAAAGCACGCCAGGTTCGCCCCAAAGTAAGCAGTTAAAATCTAAGTGAGCGTTTGGTAAATGCTTCTATCTATCTCAATCCAACAATCCTCTGGCTCCAGGCCTTGTCTGGTGCAGGGCTAGTCGCTGTCGCTTCGGTAACCGACCCGAGCTTAGAACTGAAGTCAGCGATCTGCGAGACCAGACCCAGCTGCATGTCCCTCACCTCACGACCCCTAAACCCTAAACCCTAACGTTTTTCACGGTGGGGCCCTAGGGATACACAGTGATTATATGGGGGAATTGGGGGCGCTGTAAGGATTCTATAGGATCCGTTTGAGAAAAAGACCCACTTCTTGATGCTTTAGGGTTTAGGGTTCCCTCCCTCCTAGTCTATCCGTTTGACATGGTAGGGAAAAAGACTGGGCCCAACTTTGGGGAAAGCATAGTAAGGACGTGTGTCGCAAAGGCACAACCCAATTCCATTTAATTTTGCATGTTCTTCCCCAGCTGACGCTCCATATTTGCGGCAATATCCCGTACATAACCCTATATACCCCCTATACTATATAACGAGTATCCCCTACATAACCCCATAGATCCCCTACAGAACGGATTTTGACAGCCCATCACCTCCTGCATCGCATCCCCAACGATCTGCACTTGCTGCTTTGCCAAGCGGTCCTCGATTTTCTCCAACTCTGCCTTCATGGACTCAATCCCAGTTGCCTGGTCAACCAGTCCAGATGAACTATAGTCAAAACTCAACAAAGGGTCCAAGTTCAGGTTTTAGTGTCTGTCTAGGGCAGTTAGTAGGCATGGAGGGAATGCATATCCCTGTGTCTCCCAAAAAAAACCAAACATCGCCTCAAGCCGCGCAGCGCTGTCTTCCAAGCGGGCAACCAATTGGCTGGTTCCTTCACCATCAAGCTGATTACCTTCAGCATCCTCTCTGCCTCAGGAAGTGCCAGTACAGATTGCTTGGCAATGCCAACACTCCCTTCCCCCCCTCGGTATGGGGCTATCGTAGGACTGCTGCGGGCCGTTGTTTCCATAGGTTGAGGTCGCCAAGAAATCCGGTTAGAAGAGGCTTTGGATTGTCACACAAGGAGGCAGAGGCCTCAAAATGATCACCCCCCCTTTGCCAGAAACATCCCACAGCAGACAGACAGCTGTGGCCCGAACCCTTCAGATGTTCCGCAAGAATGCTGCGAATCTCCCCGGCAGTGGCGTTGTCGAGGTTCCGAATTGTGTCAAGGTTGTCCGCAAAGTTTTGGATTCTGTCATTGGAGCTAGTGAGGAGGTCCAACCTGGGTTGCTGTTAAGGAACTTAATTCAAGTTACTATATTGGGGGAACCATATTAATTACTTATATATACCCATTATGGTAACTTAATTTAAGTTCCTTAACAGCAACCCAGCAACATCATGAGGTTTTGACGACGGACATCCGTCATGCGCTCGTCAAGGACGGCTGCGGACTTCTCGGCAGTGACCACTGCCGTATTGCTTTGGTCGTTCAGCGTATCTAGCTGCTCTTTCCTGAGCCCACTTAGTCCTCTATGTATGTACATGTGTATATACATATATATATATGCATATATGTATATATATGTATATATGTGTGTATATATATATATATTCATATGTTGTTACTTTTGTGTCGTTCTTTGGGGTTATGCTACAATACAAACTTTCAACAGTTCCTAAAGGGATCGGAGTTTCAGCGTGGCCAAGATTGACTCCGAGCTCACGGTGTAGGAAGAAGTTGCGGACTCGCCCAACTCTGCGATCTTCTTGTCCAAAGACTTCTCCAACCTGGCTTGCTGTTAAGGAATTTGAATTGAGGGTGTAGGGTTTATGGTTACTATAATAAGAAAACCTTATCATGTATTCTATACCTGTAGTATGGTAACTTAATTCAAATTCTTTAACAGCAGCCCAGCAACTCCATGAGGTTGCGAACTGTTGCATCACCACCACTCTCGATCTTGGTGACCATGGTCTTCTGGGAAGATGCGATGTTCTGCAGAACGAAGTGAGACTCTGAGCTTTGACGAAGCCTAGGGTTTAGGGGTTTTGGAAGCCTAGGATAGATTTCGGGGCCTTAAGAACATCTATAATTCTTGTGGGGTTAGTAGGAATACCTGGGGAGTATGGTCCACAATGAGCTGGCATTTTCCACTAACATGGGCCCAAATTCTTAGGGGGAGCCCCCCAAAAGTACGCCGAACCCCTACACCCTAAACCCAAATCTGTATAAAACCCTTGCTATCCCATATGAAAAGTTCCAAGGAATTCTCCTAAACCCTGAACCCCGAACACTAAACCCTAAGACCCTCAGAAAAAACTGGGTTGCTGTTAAGGAACTTAATTCAAGTTACCATATTGGGGGAACCATATTAATTACTATATATACCCATTATGGTAACTTAATTTAAGTTCCTTAACAGCAACCCAGAAAAATTGCAAGGAATTCTCCAGGAGCAGGTCTTGCTGTGATCCCTCGAGCTTCTCCAACAAGGCTTTGGAAGAGGCACCCACGGCTTCGGCAACCTAGGTTGCTAAGGGTTTAGGGTTTCGGGGTTCAGGGTTTTTAGGGTTTAGGGCTGTGAAAAGATTGCACGACCTTGCTCTCAAAACATGTTTACCAGAGAGCCAGAAATCCGGAATCATGAGATACTCTGGGGCATGAAAGTATTGTGGTCTCAACCGTATGAAGAACTTTCAGTACGATTCTTGATGTAGAAGGCGTCTTCCAATATAGCACTGTAAGCCGTAAGATGGGTATGCAGTGTGTACCTTGGGTTGATTAAATCTTGTCAACAGCAGCCCAGCAACTGTTGTCTTGGTGGTGGTCTGAACATCCTCCATGCTGGAGTGGAGCCTGGCAAACTATACTCATTCCAAAGCCTAAACTTAGGATAGGACTGTTTGGGCACCTTTCACGATATGAGCTATAGTCTAAACTCCTAGTACCTGCCCTAGTAAGCCCTACAAAGGTCCTGTATATGACCCCGTTCAAGGAGTGTAGACTGTAGTTCACATAAACCAGTATGCAGGATAAGCCTTGGGTCCTGCCCCCACCCATTTACAGCCTACAATACGGGTCATGTTAAGGGCTCTGTATAATGATGCTGTGCATATAACCCAACTGTTGATGGGTGGGGGCAGTACCCAAGATACTCTAAACCCTAAAAACCCTAAAAAACCTTAAAAACCCTAAAAACCCTAAACAAACCCTAAACTCTAAACCCTATCATAACATGCCCAAGCCACTTGGTGCAGGAGGCATGGATCTGATCCAAGTCCCTCTTCTGAGTGTCCAGCTTCTGGAGGACAACTTCCTGGGCTTAGGTTTATAGGGTTTAGGGTTTAGGTTTTCGGGTTATTATCATCCCCCTGAAGTAGATAGAATATGGCTTTGGGTAAATTATAATAAGATCCCCATATACCCCATATTCTACCTACTTAAGAGGGACTAGAAATTAAGATGCCATAGTATGGGTATATAGTAGATTATAGGGTTTCCATATTAGAGTAACTTGAATTAAGTTCCTTACAGCAACCCAGCTTCCTGTGATGAGTCCAGCTTGTGCAACAGCACCTGGCGGGTGTCTCAGCAGAACCCCTATGCGGCCCGTAGTGACGCCTGCAATATCCTAAACCCTAAACCCTAAATCCCTTCATCAGCTTTCCCTGCGAGGGTAATGTTAGGGGTTATATTGGGGTTATATAGGGATAGTGGAAAAGAAAATGGAAACTACTGTCTATAAGGGGTTATACGGGGTATAGAATATGGGGTATATGGGCTTCTGAAGGGTATGCCCATTTTCAAAAAAGTGCTCGAGAGGGACTCGTACCCTGACCCTAAACCCTTGTTTTGCATCCAGGCCCTGCCAGATTACCTGGAAGAGTGGTTGCACATGCTGCGCACCATGCAACGCTCAAACTGACACACGTTCGGGATTGCAAGCACAAGAATGGCTTTTGAATCAGGACTCTGTCATGTGCCTGGTGCAGACCCCTCACAAGAACCCCTAAACCCTTAAGCCCCTTTTAAAGACGAGCTGAGAGCATATGCCGGCAACTGGAGCTCATGAGAACCCCCCTCCTCCCTAAACTCTAAGCCCTAGAACCCTCAGTCCCAAACCGAAAACTCCAGGCCTGGCAAGCATTGACCGTCTGCATGAGGGTGACCTGTCCGAAATCCATGCGCTGGGCCACGCTCTCCTGCAGAGACTCTGGACTTGTATTTGGGTTTAGGGTTTAGGGTTGATTTGGGTGGTTTCATGGGGTACTTAGTTAATCGATTCATACTAGGAATCGGTGGGGTATGCTGAGGTTATTGTATGGCAGGGCAAGTATACTTATAACTTACCAGGGCCCCTCCTTCCAAGTAGGAAGGGGCTAGTGGGAGAAAGTAAACACCCTAAAGCCATACTACGATAAGGCTGGAAGAGGATCCCTGAAATTCTGGGCCATGGTCTAGTGTAGGGCACGTGTATTAGGGTGAGAGAGAGTACGTGTTTTGTTTCGACGTTTTAGACTGTGCTACCTACGCCTTCAGAGCAGGTGTTATCTGGCCTGTTCAATTGGCAGCATGGTTGGTGGTAAGTGTAGGCACCTTCAGTGCGACGCAGAGCCTTGGTGCACCCAAGCCCCCGGCCACCGGTCGAGGGACGCTCTCTATGTCGGGGAGACGGGGTACATGTTCATCCATTGGCACGGTTAGCAAGACGGTGTCAGCACCGTTTGTCAGCGTGTCAGCGGAAGCTTTGCAGGAAAAACTCGGGTTATCTCGGGGGAGCTTCGGTGCCGGATTGGATGCCGGGCAAGCAGAGGATGGACATCGTGGGGGCAGCTTGGCGGCAGAAACAGCTCTTGTACAGCTCCGGGCGGGTTTCGAACCCCCGGCTCCCGTTCAAACGCACAAATCTCGAATAGGTTTGTCAACGGCAATCTCGGCTAGTCCGGCTGATTCGGCTACGCCCGAACTTCGTGCAGTGCAATTTTGTTTATGGCCGGCATGGCCCCCATTATGTGCTCCCACTTCGGCCTGGGGAGGATCTCTACCTGGCTCTACCTCCGCCCATGAACATTTGGAATGGCTCTGGGACTTGCTGCCTGCAAACTTTTCTTCGTGGCTTTCACTCATCTGGATACGAAGCAGGTGCCTACAACTTCTGGGCTTGTCACGTATGAGGACTTGACCTGGTGTGAAATCCCAGAATCCATCTTAGCAAACCTTCTGGACAAGGACCTGAACGTGCCCTCTGACCTCAAGGTCGAGCGCCCCTACAACAAAATCTCTGTAGAAGTGGCGCTACCATGTTCTGTATGATCTGGGTCCTAACCCCTAAACCCAAAACCCCGAATTTGAGAAACACCCTCCTGCGTGGAATCCAGGGAATGGTTCATGTTATCCTGGAGCGTCTGTAGCTTTGCCAAGACTGCTTCATGGAGTGGCATTACTGCCTTTTGCACAGCGTATGCAATCTGGTCATCCATGCCAGAGACGTCCACAACGGTGCCAACTGGTGGGGTCACCACACCATTGGTCTGAGTCGAAGATTTCATGGAGGAAAGGCGCTCTTTGTTCGCTTCCAGAACCTTCATGAAAGGGTCTTCCTTCTCGACCAAACCGCCCTGGTCCTGCCGTTGGCACTAGGCTGATGCAAGTAATGTCCGTCTAATAGAACCCGAATATAACCCCAATATAATTCCCCAACAAACCCCAAGAGAACTCCAATATAACCCCAATATAACCCTAGAACCCCAATAGTCCCCCTTAAGTAGATAGAATATGGGGTATATGGGGCTCTTATTATAACATACCCAAAGCCATATTCTATCTACTTAAGGGGGACTGTAATATAGTAGCATTCTAACCCAAGCTGCTTGCATGTCTTCTGCCCTCCCTGGGTCCTGTCCCATGTTCATCTTCTCGTTGCTCCAACGGCGCTGGACTGCATCAACCAGAGCCCAAGGCAAGCATAGCCTGGGCTGCTGTTAAGGAACTTAAATTAAGTTACCATAATGGGTATATATAGTAAATAATAGGGTTTCCCCGATATAGTAATGTAATTGAAGTTCCTTAACAGCAACCCAGTAGCTCCATGCAGCGATCCTGGTTCAGCCGCTCCAAGACTGAGGTGTTGGTGACCTCGGAATCTCTGGAGCCACATTCACAGGACAGGCCTGGAGTTAAGGTGTTCAAGTGCAAGTGCGGACTGCAACTTCGTGCCTGCTGCAACTGTTCTAGGGTCACGACGCCACTCTCAACAAGGAGTTTGATCAAGCGTTCCGTGTGGTTGGCCAGCTGAAGGGTTACCTCAGGTTAATCCCCCTACAGCAATAACCCTTAAATATGGAGTTCAATATACCTACAATATGGCCCTTAAACCCTAAACCCTAATTATTAGATTAAGGGTTACCATGGTGTCTGCCACGAGCTCCATCATCTTTTCCTCGCTGTCTGCCTCTTGGGAGAGACTGAGGAAGTGAATCCTTAAAACAATCCCTGTGTGATCCCCATAAAAACCCCTAGACCCAAATCCCCAAATCCCTAAACCCAAATCCCAAAACCCTAATCCTTAAACTGCCTTAAACCCGAAACCCGCCTCCTCTCCAAATCCCAAGCCATAGTCTGCAGGGTCGAGTCGTCCACGCAAGCTTTTGCCACCTGCCTCTTCGATGGCTTTCTTGTCCAAAGCTTCTCCTGGGTGGCACTTCAAGAATTTAGGGCTTAGGACCATAATATATATATATACAAGTATAGTATAAGTGGTGCTTTAAGGGTTTAGGGCTGAGGGTACTTATTGGGCCTTCCACATACAAGACTGAAGGAAATAATCAAGTAGAGTCCCTCTTCAGTAGATAGAATAAAGTTTTGGGTCTATTATAGTGAGATCCCCATATACCCCATATTCTATCTACTTAAGGGGGACAATATCGCAAAGTGCCACCTGGTGTCCTGTTACTTGCTCGCTAGGCGACATGCCGTAGAGCTCCCGTGCAGCCTCAATCTTCCGCTGGTGAACCATCTTCATGCGCTGCCCGAGGATGATCATGGAAAACTTGGCCAGGATGTTCAAGGCCACCCATCCCATTTCGATCATCAGCTCGTTATCCACCAGATTGAAACCTTCTGGACTCAGAGCAAACCAGATTGGGAAAGGAAACCACGTGATGATGAGCAAGAGCGTGAGCGTGCGATAGTGTGAATCACCATGTAGCAACGTTTCCTCTCCTTCACTGTTCTCCGTCACTTGCAGGGCGTTGTGGTAAAACATGATGATCATGAAGATCGTGCCGAAGCCAAACCAAATGTAGCGCAATGCTCCTTCTGTGAAGGTAGCCGCCACACCGCACAAAAGCACGGCGGCCGAGAGCAAGGGCATCATAAAACGGCGGTACGATGGCACCCGAGCTCCGGCAAGAACCACTAGCTTCAGCTGCAAAATGGGGCAGGTCAGGATCCACTCAACAGGTCGGGCAAGCTGCATGACGAAGCCCCCTGTGTAGCCTGGGATCTCGAAATCGTCAATTCCCGTCAGCTGCAGGATGTTGAAGAATCCGGAGAAGAGGGCCACCGCGGTGCTTAAGGTAGCACAAACGGCATGACGCTGCTCCAGGGGTGCTTTTTGACCTCCTCCCATCTTTGCATTGTTTGCAAAGATGAGCCACATGGCCAAGACAAGGAAAGCTGTGCCTTGGGCGATTTGGGCAATGTTGTGGGCATCGTTCCAATCCACCGCGTCTGTGCACGTCTCAACTTGGAGTCGCCGCACGCGGTCCATGGAGTCTTGAATCACCGCCAGGGCCTCGGAAAGGCCTTAGATGTTCTGACATACTCCTTGGCTTACACCTCTTTCCCCTACCTTAGTGCTCTTGCGGCTTTGAATAGGGAATGGATAAATGGGTTCCAATAATTGTTCCTGCAGAAAGCCTGGAAATAATCCGGAAAAGCCAAGCTTTCATGCCTTACCAGCATGTCTTGGCCTACTTGGAGGGTCAGGGAGACAAACTATAAATAGAAGCCCTATAGGCCGCGTAGTACCCCCAATTATGAGGGTTTAGGGTCTAGGGTTTGGGTTTATAGCCACTGACTAATCCCCCCTGACCCTCCAGGTACCGGAGTGAATGATCTGAGGACTGAACGGCTTTGCTCCATCGCAAGGGCACCTTGAACGTCCGCATGATCCATCTCCTGGATTGCTGTAAAAGAACTTAGATTACGGTTTAGGACTTAGGGTAAGTTAGCCTAGTGGAAAATGAAATGGAAACATGAAATGGAAACTGGGATTTTGGCTTGTCTATTCAAAGATCTTACCATAATACAAGATGTGGTAGTAAATAATATTGACGTCACATTCGTGACTAGACTCACAATTACAAAGCCCCACGCAAGAAAACCCTAACAACTACACCCACCTTTAGACTATTCCTGGACAGATGTCCTGAGAGGGTGCGGAAACCAGAGACTGTGAGGAATTCATGTGAGCTAAGGTCTAAACTCCTAGTATCCCCCTTAATAACCCCTATAGCCTATAACAGTCCCCTATTGAATCCCCTATATAACCCCCTTTAGGGAGTTTAGACTATAGCTCATGTTAGAGCTTGCTTACTGAGCTGCTAAAGCTGTCTCTGGCATGGCATCATGGGGCACCTAGACAGCTTGAGGGATTGAATTCAAAGGTTGCTCACTGCAGAATCTCTGTTTTGCATCCCAGACACGGATGTCTGCAAACTCCCCACAAAGCGAAAATGTTTCTAGCAACAAGAAATGGATTTCTTACTCCAAAACCTTATGAAAGCAACCTCAAATCAATCTGCCACAGGGGGTGGTACAGGCTCCCGGAATCCATAATAATGATGGCCATGCGATTAGAAAATGCTGCTCCGGAAATTCCAGAAATCTTACAAACGTGTTTCAAATTGCTCTTGACAAAACATTGTTCATTTTGTTGTTCTAACAGTTAACTTTATCATGCTCTTTACTACGACTCTTGCAAAATCTTTTGAGGCAAGATGCTCTCTACACATCTCAAACAATAGTTCTCAAATATCTTCTTTACTAATCCGTGCTTGTTCATAAAGTAAAGTTAATTGTGCTGCTATCCAAGGCTGCTGGATCATTTTCTGCGAAACATGCCTTCCTGAATCTCAAAGACTAGTTCCAACTTCGGCTTTACTAACACGCGTTCAACTTTCTTGTTCAAAGACAAATTCTATTTTGTTTGCTACTAAAACGGTTGCGACATCTTTGAAAGCAAAATTCTAGGTTAAACAAACTCTTGGCATGTAGACTTCTCAGCCGCCACAACAGCACCAGCCAAGCCGGGAGAAGCCCTACTAGCCTGCACACCAAGACCACCACCACTATTACTATTGCTATTGCTACTGCTACTGCTGCTACTACTACTTCTTTTGTAAGACCAGATTGGGACATCATTATTCAAGGTTCCCGCAAAGTGGCGATAAATCAATCGAAGGGGGGAGGTTTAATGCGAAGCAACATGACTGTTTCCTTATCATGGTAGCTAAGCTCAACTTCATTGACTGCAACCCAGTCTCGGGTGCAGGAAAATAGGGTGAAGGATCTCACGAGATCCCTACAAATGAGGCCGCAGGGGGGTAGGACCAGCTGAGTCTCTTTTGAGCTCAAACGGCTTCGTGAAAAGGTCTCAAGAGCAGCTGGGGAATCTGCTCGCATGCCCTTGCTTGCACGAGCGCGTTGCCACAACTTGCGATGACTTGCTAGAACTCTTGTATAATGTATTTCCTTCTCCCCAACCAACCCCCAGCATAAGAATCAGCTCCATGCCTTGGGTTCTACAACTGACTGTCCAGCTGTGCGAAGGGACGGCACCTCAAACCGGCGCTGCGAGATGTTGGAGCTGGATGTCAGACACTTCAAGCACTAGCAAGCCCTAACTGAACCTGCATGGTTTCGACAGCTAGGTGCACGTAAACTGCGGCGCTTCACCATCACTGACAAAGCAGCACCGATGTCGAAGCAGGCAGGTACCGATCCAATCCCAACTCTCACTGTTTTGCTCCATCAGGTCTTCCCAGAAGTCTGGGCAGTCGTAGGGTCCATACAGAAGAAGAGTTCTGGAGGCGAGTGGTCTCCGCGCGCATGAAGCCCCATGACTCCTCCTTGGCAAGCAGCGGCCCGGAGGTGCGCTGATAGGACTCGACACAGCCACGGTTTGCGAGACAAAGCTCATCGAAACACCCATGAGAGTCAGAGACTTGGGAATGACAAAACTACAGCGATCACATCATTGCCGACAAGCTCACGAGAACGTCTCAGCTTCACAGGGTGCTGGAAGCCAAGAGGGATATCTAGGGATACCGGTGGAGCTTAAAACTTCTGCATGCCCCGAAGTACCGTATACCTTAACTACGGCTCACCAAGGTAGACTAAAGTCATGCTGGATTTGTAGTATCAACAATAGGGATTTTGCGGAATGTGTAGAAATATACAAGACTTCCGACTAGGGCATTGGGCATCACCATCTGCACTCGAGCTGTGTGCCGACTGAGCTGTGTGCCCACTGAACTGCAGCTTTCCTCTCCGTCTGGATCACGTGTTGCCAGAGGATGTTGGCAGCATGCCCTGCTCTGGCATATAAGGATAGGTAGGGTTTAGGGCTTACATTTAGGGTTTAGGGTTACGTAGAAGATTAGTCAGGGATACATACGTCGGGGTACATTGGGATGTATAGAAGATTAAACAGAGATGCATAGGGGATGTTTTAAGAGTGAGGGAACTGAATGCTGCAATAAAAAGAGCTGCAAGTATAAAGACTTAGGAAGAGCGATGAAAGAAGCGTAATGTGCTACTGTATGACACCGATATCACTGATGCTTCTGGTGCCAGTATTTGGAAAGTCATTTGAAATTGTAAGCAGTGCTGGCAATAGAAATGCTCCACTTACCACCTTACGTTGCACTCACCAGCCTACTTATAATTACCCATGAACCTCCATTTGCTGATGACACAGGATAGTGTTGTGCAAGCTAACTCTGGGTCTGCGTGCCACTGGCACTGCCCTCAAGCCTCAATCTCTACCTCATTGGTGATTAGTAGGAAGTGGAGGCATGGATCCCATAATTTCCCCTACATAATCCATCGCGATAGTCCCTACACCTCTACCTTCCTGATACAGTACAGAATGGAAAGGGGATCCACCCTAAACCCTAGACCCTAAACATAATTCCTTACCGGGGGAATGGAATAGACATTGCGAGCTGCTGTGTTCTTTCTTACGCGTAGGGAGTAGAAAATGATAACTACTACGTTGCTTCTTAGGCAAAAGAATGGAAAGGAACATGGACATAGGTCTTGGGCGTTGGTAAAGAATATAGGTCCTTGTAGCAGTCCACCTATAGTGGTCCCAGTAGCATATTCCCCGAGTTCCTACTGGTCTGCCCTAAACCCTACACCCTAAA